TAGTTCTGTACAACGAAGGAGTTGACCATCTGTTCCACAAATGAAACATTTTCTCGATGATTCTGTTCTCTGCTGGGAAAGAATCTTCAACTTCAAGACATATTCAAGATCAGTATCTGAATTGCTAGTACTTTACATCTTTTATCTAGAGAAACATATATTTTATGATGAATTTACAATAATAGATGTCCTTAGCTAACCAATACTTATTTAATTATTGAAACAGAGCACACAGTACCAAATATCGAATGATTAATTCACAATAAGTCACCATTAAATGCAATGGTAAACGCCTCAAAGTTGATGTGTATAACGAAAGCGTATGGAACTAGGATAGCCGCGGGTATTGCGGGGAGAATAGGGGTACGAATGAGGCGAAACGCGTTCGTCCGTGGTACCTGCATTGCATTATGATTTTCTCAATATCTTTCTCATTTATGCTTCGATTTTCGAAATCGTAGAACCATTCGCATCTTGAAACATAGACGCATCGACATTATTTGAAGTATTTTTTTGATAAACGTTGTAGTTACTGAGATAATGCGAGGTATATGAAAAACAATTTAACGAAAATTGACAAGTTTCGAGTTATAGGCGTTTGAAATATGCTTTTCTCATATATCGTAATGCAATTAGTAAATTTCAAAATTTTCTATAATTTGTTCTACTTGTCACACGAAATCAAGATTCGACAGGGTGAAAGTTCTGAAAACCATCAATATTTTCCACGAATAAAAAAAAAATCCATATTTTTTTATAAATTACCCCCTACCCCCCAAACGCACAGGACGATTTTTTGACGACAAGTGGATCCATGATCTGGAGATGGTAGGTAACAATTCTAGCCATGTCACAGCTTTTTACCTCCGATTTCCCACGGGGTGAACGATAGGATTCGATTGGCACTCTACTATAGTGCAAAAATGGGTTTTTCAAAATACTTTTTTCTGTGACGGCAAAAAGTTTGGCATTTCATCTCTGTTGGCAGGTTATAAAATGTCACTTTTCATGAATTACTTTTTTCCCGTGGGACACCCAGTATAACAATTGATTAATTCAATTAATTGATTATGGTGTACTCCATATCCTTATGTTCCTGCTATTTGAGATTTGGTTCTGCTAGCTCAATGGTTAGGCTAGCAGAACCCATGATTTTTTTGAAAAAACAATGTGCGAAGAAATCGGCAATAGGCTAGGATTAGATCCTTAAATTAGCCTCAAATCATGGTATAATTCGTTTTGTGATTGTACTTTTATTCACAAAGTGGTTCTGATAGCTCAACGTTGAGCTAGCAGAAGCCACGTTTTTTTGCATAAATCGAAGAGCAATAAATTCTTCAATACGGTGATAAGTAATTAGCCTTGAATTATGGCCCAAAAAAAATGAATGATTCAAAGTAGTTCTGCTAGCTCAATGGAGGTTTTTCACTTAGTTATTCTGAATCTACGATCAGATGAATGATGCTTGTTATACTAGGTCAGTTATAATCACAAGACTCATTCCACCCCTAATAATATTCTTCAGTTTGTTAGGTTATGAGAGTAATTAATTAAATATTACTACGGAGTGATCAAAGACAATAACAACAATAATTATGTCTTGGTTTCGTGAATATTAATTTTATTTCCATTCTTGCCGATATTTTATCCGGCAATTAATAAAAGAAATTAAAATAATGAATCTCGTGATTTCGTTCAGAAGGCTCATTGTTGAAGCATTTGAGTTCAGTCAATATATCAAATTTGAACCCAATCGGGTAATCCCTGTATTTAATATGGCAGATTGATTTTTTTGTCAAAATCCATAAATTACTCTGTATGTCAGTATATTGGCAGTCCCTATAACCCCATAAGTTTCGTCGGTTTGATCTCCGAATACCCTGTATTCCACAAATAAAAATGAATAATCTGACATACGAGAAAAAAAAATTAAAGAAATCTTGAGAATAAACGTGTTGATGAGTGAAATAGGTAAGCTATACTCATACTTAGGACAAGGTACAACTCGGAGGAGTTCAAAACGATTAATTCTGGTTGGAAACAGGTCTGTTTTTCGGAAAGAACACTTTTTCATAATATGTATTACGTATTTCTCTGCTGTGCATCACAAAATCAAAGTACCTACTTGAATGGTTCATTTTCCTTCCATATCTATAACGAGGGCAATAATAGACTGTTAAATATCACAACACACTGTATAGGTTCGGTATATAGGATCAAATCACAAAAACACGTTCCATCGGAGTCACTGGAATTCAAATTTGCTAAAGGGTATATGCGGTATAATATGTATACCTACAACCTGCGGACCCATGCGCTTCTAGGTGCATTATAAGATATAGTCGAGTATAAAATAGTTCACTGAGATACTTTTTTCAAGATTTTTCTAGTCATTAAGAAGTAGGTACCTCAATGTCAATCCAATTGGAGGTGATTTGTTCATATCCAATCCTATAATATTAAAAAAAAGTTCAATAACCATGAATTATCTCTCGATTATTTCCTTTAAATTTCAAAAAATGTCAATGGCATCCAAAGACTTCCAAAGACTACCAAAGACTTCCAAAGACTTCCAAAGAATTCCAAAGACTTCCAAAGACTTCCAAAGACTACCAAAGACTTCCAAAGACTACCAAAGACTTCCAAAGACTACCAAAGACTTCCAAAGACTTCCAAAGACTTCCAATGGAGTGTACACCAGACTTCCAATGAGAATCACCCCTCGCTGATGCACTTAGGTTCCATCCAGAGATGAGCCATTCTCGTGGTGGGTGATGCCGCACTAACTAATTCTTTGACGTCGGCGACCTTTTACTTTTATATAGATACTTCCAGGGGAATGTTCCTCAGAAATCTCTGCTATCATTCCATCACTAGCGATACCAGTCAGACGTACTCGACAAGTAATATGTCGAACAACTCTTTACCAAAACTCGTTTGTCTATAGACTAGCAAAGTTTTGGAATTCTTTACAAAAAGAAGTATTCCCAAGAACTTATAATCCCCAAAGGTTAAGAAAAAATCCAATACCTACCTTCTCTCCCTATCCCCCTTAGCTATGCACGATATGTTCCTTGAACTAGGGATTTCCCTTCGTGCGCTTAAAGAGAAAGATAGAGAGAAAGAGAGAAAGAAAATAGGAAAAAAATTATATAGGCAACCAGAGAATAAAAGGAATGGCGATGAGAGGATCTAATGAAGGATGGATGTTACAATCCTGTACTAACAGGCGTTTTAAAATATGTCGGAGACTACATGAAATCATATGTAACTCCACAAAGACTGCAATAGTAATTTTCGAAAAAAACAATGTCAGCTTTTGTAGCAAGCTATTATCAACCTATGGAAATAAATCTGTTAGATGTGATGAAGTAGTGAATGTCATATATAATAGTTGTGAAACCATCAAATCACCAAACATTAGTAATCAATATACATATTATTACCAAGAATGTAGGAGAAATAATAGTTGGTCAATGGTTGAAGAATATGAAAACGATAAAATGACTGGCGATTGAAAAAACATACTGAAATCAAATTCTGAAAACTTATTATTGCATTAGTAAGTTTTTGAATATTGACACTTTGTCCGCACGGCTACCTGGCCCCACACATTTTGCCCAAACACTAGATTCACATAAAATTACAACTGCTTGGTAAGGCCAGAATTTCAGAACAGCCTGATGTTATTGGATAAGCCATAAGCACATCAGGTATTTCTGAGTCTGTTGAAGAATTCAGTACTTCTATGCAACTATAGTTCTTCTGAGAGTTCTTCTCATATTATTTTAGTAATTGTTTGAGTTAAAACCTTGATCAATCACATAATTTTTCAGGTTGTTGACAAGATAAATGATATGGTGTATTCTGAAGATATTAGCGGAAAAGACGTTTTATATAGAAATTCAAATTTGAAGACATCACATATTATGCCTTGTTATTTCTACAGCCAACCATCAAGATTGAAACACTTTTTGGACAACCATTAAAAAACATAAGTTTCCTTGATTTTTGAATCAATAAAATGCTATGTATATTTTGTATGGAATTCATTATATTTTTATTTTATAGAAACAAGGAGAGAATAATAATAATTAATATACTTACTTGCCACCCATTAAGCAAATTTGGAAGCTATGTTGATGCAAGGTTGTATCAATTACTGAAACTGACGTTCAGCAATATTGCAAATGTAAATTTGTGAATGTAACGTTCCAGCAATGTCACAGCAACATGTAATATTGTTGCAACTTCACCTTTGCAATATTGCTGAACGTCCATTTCAGTATTCCCTTTAACATTGCATCAACATAGCTTCCAACTTTGCTTTGTGGGCAATGATTCAGATTTCAGAATAATTAACAGTCTTAATTGTATAGATTGCATGCAAGCACCTGTATATGCAAGCACCTATATGTGCAGGAAGTAAATGTAGTGCATAATATCAAAAATACTGGACATATTCAGTTATTCTGCCACAGGGTATTCAAGGCCCAAATACTTGTACACCAAAATTCCCATAGCTCAAATTAACCTTCACAAATTTCCTCAAACTTCCAACTGCCCAAACTTCCTGGAACTTTATGTACTTACACCAAACTTGGCAAAAAGGGCCCATGGGGGCCTACTTGCCTGGCTACAGCCTCCCCACAATACTACTACTACTACTACTACACCAAACTTCCTATGTGATTACCCCCTTAGGTTTCTGCTAGCTCAATGGAGGTTTTCTCTTGGGTTTTCTGCTGTCTTTTTCATTTCACTAATGAATTATACCTCAACTTCAAACCAAGAAATATTCAGAAGTTAACTGTTTTCCTACCTTCAGAAGAGATTGCATCATATCAGGAAAAGCAATATTTTTTTAAGTCTAAGTGCTTTTTGGGAGATTTATAAATGACTGATTGCAATCTTCAAACATACCTCTCTAAATGTTTTGTTTGGTTTTAGGTGATATGCATGGTCTAGTAAAAGTAAATTGATTGGAAATATACTCTTACCTGGAGTAGATCTTGTAGAACACTCTATAATCTTGAAGGAAACATTTTTTGGTTCATCAGCTGCAATATATATTTGAACTGTCAAAACATCATCTTCTATGAACTTTTTTGCTGGATCTTGTATATCCTTCCAATCCAAATAATTGGAAAATCCTGCAGTGTCTTCAACAGAGGAAAATTCATGTTCCAGTCTTCTGGAAAAAATTTCACGGCCAAAGGGAAGGATACGTAATTCAACAACAGCACGACAAGACCATTCTGGTGAGCCATCATGCCCACTGCATCTAATATAATACCCAAAAGAATCAACTTGACGGGTTGGGGAAAAATAGTGCTGCAAATTCAACCTCCATGCCAAATTTCTCACATAGAATAGATTAGTGAGAAGTCCATTATTTGGTGTAGAAAGCTTTTTGATAAAATCCTTTATTATAAAAGTGAATGTTACTTCTGAACGAAATGGGGCCTCAGCAACATGAATATCTTGGACTGTTATTGTGGGATTCAAAGGATTCACATTAGTTAATAGAGGTCGTTTCTTAGCAGCATCTTCAGAAGAGTCAGAGCAGCCAGAATTTCTTCTTTTTTTAGTATCTCTCATTCCTGATTTGTTTACCTTGCTATCTAATGGTTGAGATTTTGGTGAAAACGCCTCGGCGAAATCAGAGCGATCAGTATCAGAATCAGAAGATGTATTACTAGAAGTAATGCTAATATTGCTAGAAGTAATGCTAATATTGCTATCAGAGTCTTCTTCAAGGTCCATTTGTAATTTGTAGCTAGAGTTTTTGTACTGAAGATACCTTCCTCAGATTGTAGTTTTGAGTACGTAGTTGAGTTGAGTATTATGATTCTCTACAGTATTTTATAATAATCTAAATACGAGAAAAAGAATTATAAATTATAGGTATTGTAATATTTGTAATCGGCAATATCAGCATTCACCATGAATTAAACATTCAAAATATTGACTTATTTTGACATCGACACTATTATTGACATTTGACACTTGATGACTTGACACAGTGACATTACACTCATTACAGTGTAGTACTATGATACTCCTCGAAAAAAGTACTAGACATAACAAGTAACAAGTAGTACTCAGGGAAAGAACTAGAATCCCCTAAATACAGGGTGATCTTCTGAATCTTGAAGTGAATCAAAAGTTAAGATAGGGGCATAAGGGATAAGGGACATCATGTATGGTCCCCTGATGCGAATTGACGTATTTACCATCTTAACAGGATACGGACAGATCCTCGTGTCCTCTGTGTTTGTGTAATAGTTATATAGTTCCATCCTTATTCAATTCTGGGGAGACACTAGACTAGATTCCAGATTTCGGACATTTGTTGATTTTTCGGTTATATTGAGGCCAGGATGAATTGAGGGCATTGGCGTAGTATCATAGTAATACCGCAATTTCCACATGGAACTCCTCTGATTTGACAACCTATATATTTCACCGTGTATGTGACTGTTCTTAGACTTTACGTACAAATAAAAGAATTTTCATTTCAGGCTGAGATGGTTGAGAAATGGTGAGAACCTTGATGTGGGTATTCAAACTAATGTGCCCATGTCATGTGTGCTCTACCTATATATTTACTCTACTCAAATGCATTCCAAAATTTACAATGAAAATTTAGAACGTGATTTGTAATATTTTTAGCTCGCGTATTTCGCTGTATTTACCGAATTTCCAATCAGGTCCCTTCATGTAGACTTTCCATATGTTCTAAGTTAATTTGCATTTGATGAAAAGTGTCAAATTTGAATTTACCACTCAACCGATCGATAGGCACAGTCTAAAACGCAGCACATATTGCTATTCGTCCAAAACAGAATTCAAAAATATCGTATCAAGTTCTAATTAAAATTTTGTAAGATTTCCTGTTGCGCCACTAGATCATTAGAAAAGATAGGAGCTATATTATCTGGCCGTACCCTGATAAGATGGCACATAAGTCAATATGCATCAAGGAACCCTAGGGGGGGAACATGCAAGCCGGTTTATCCAACAATGAATAGTTTCGACACAAAAAAATCCTAGTGGAAAAATCTCAATTCTGAACACCCTATATCTCTGTAATAATTCCCGCTAGACCACAAGTGTGATACATTGATGAAATGAGCTCTTCAGGGGGAATCTAATGCAATGCAATTGAATACAGGGTGTTTCATTCGAAGTATCAATATTGCTACTACTCTTTGGTAGAAACGGCAACAGTGAATTATTAAAATTATTTTAGAAATATATAGGGAGTTCGGCTTATGCGATCACCCAATTTTTTAAAACGATCCATTGGCTGGTTCGCCAGTTATCTTAGTCTAATGAACCGTTTCAACACCTATCACCCACACGACCCTGTATATGCGCCTTCTGAGTGGCCACAGAGAAACTACTGAAAATGATAAGTCTGAAATCACTGAAGAAGCAATGATTATCTTCGGCACAATGGCAAAAATATGATGAAAGAAAACTGACATTTTCATTTTCAGAACGAAAAGTGTTTGTGATATCAGGTTTCTATATGTTCCTTTTTCCTAATTCAAATGTGATTTTGAATTATCATTTTTTGACGTCTTATAATTTCAAGATTGTTATTCACATTTTATAATCATATACCTACCTCAGTGATATTAATTTGTGGTTCTATAGTCTTACACCTAACTCATGATTCAGGGTTGTTTTCAACGTTTTGTTCTATCCTCCCCCTCCTACATTTTTCCTAGCGGCGCCTATGGTTCAAAGTGCAAAAGAATCAAGTCCAGCCATCAGTGATCCTTTCAAATTTAAAAGACTATTAAGTGGGTATACAGAGTGGGCCATTGAAAACGAAACAGCGGCTCTGTAGGTCGCAAAACCGGCGGCTCTGTAGGTCGGCAAAACCGGATTATGAAAAAAATCTGAAACACGTTAACTACAATTTCGAGGGGGACATCGTTCTAAAATATTTTCAGCCCTGCGGCGTTGCCGCTTCTAACGAAAAGAAGCAACAACTTTGATATTTCAAATGGAACACCTTGTATTTCATTGCCTTTTTAGATTCTCCCCGAAGAGCTGATTTCATCAATGCATCACACTTGGGGTCTAGCTGGATTGATTTCAGGGATATAGGGTGTTCAAAATCGAAATTTTTCAACTTTAGGATTTTTTTGTGTCGAAACTATTCATTATTGGTCAAAACGGCTTTCTTGTCCCTAACTCAACTTTTGATTTACTATCTACTGACATTTAATTGTAACAGATACAAGGTGATCAGGAGTCTGAATCTTGAACCACCCTGTATTTGTTTCAAATAAATGTCAGTAGATGGTGAATCGAAAGTTGGAATAGGGTTATATGAGCTACTTAGACAAATGATGAATAGTTTCGACACAAAAAATCCAAAAGTTGAAAAATTTCGATTTTGAACACCCTATATCTCTGTAATCTTCCTCGATAGACCCCCGAGTATGATGCATCGATAAAATCAGCTTTTCGGGGAGAATCTGAAAATGCAATGAAATACAAGTTGTTTCATTCGAAATAACAAAGTTGTTGCTTCTTTTCGTTAGAAGCGGCAACGCCGCAGGGCTGAAAATATTTTAGAACGATGTCCCCCTCGAAAATGTAGTTGACGTGTTTCAGATTTTTTTCATAATCCGGTTTTGCCGACCTACAGAGCCGCAGTTTCGTTTTCAATGGCCCACTCTGTATATAAAAGACTAACTCCATGGAATCCAGGTTTGGATTTTTTTATATTATAAATCATTTGTGATATTACGGATATATCGAGCCATGCGTTCATTCATTCCCACTGCCCTGCAAAAAACGTTACATTACAAATTAGCCCCAAAAGTTGCCTTTCAGGTTAATTATTCAGGAATGATTTTATGCGAGACAATTTCATTCAAGGTTCAAATTCAAGTAAGAATGAGAAGAATATCTATCAAATTGATTTCTTTATATACCTACGTCACTACGACGCGATACTTTGATCGTTATCTGGTAGTAGAACTGAAGTATGGATAACTTGCAGATGAAAAGTTTTGATTTTCCGAATGGGTTTTTTGTATTTTGAATGACATTTTAAGAAGTTCATTTCTGTCGGGTTCAAGAGAAATTATCCATTCATAAAATTTTTGTAACGCCACTGACGGAATCCCGATCGCGTTTTCCCCGAAACGCCCCACTTTCTGGGTCTCTCGATAACACGGTTGCCAACATGCCAATTTCAGAGCTAGAACTCTACTTTTCATAGGTCATATCTGTAGTACGGGAATCAAATGAATAATAACAAAAAAAATCATTGCAAGAGTTGATAAGAAATAGTTATTTATATTTATACAGACAACTATGGAAAAAAATCAACTATATACAGCAAGTTCAGCAATAAAATACATATTTATTTTTGAATTTATGCTTGATTTTCAAATGCGCAAAATTTATTTATTTATTGATGGGCGACCCCCGTGTCAAAAAAACATTATTATATATCCTATACAACAGATTCCTAAACATATCACAAAACATTGATATTGATGTCCATAATGAATATACATTTATACATATATATACACATTGAATACAATGTACATTAAATATAAAGAGATTACATTAGGGCAGGAATGCGTCTGGCTCTTTCAGTGCCAATATTAAAAATGTCCCAGTTCACTCCGTTACTCAGCGTCATCATCCTGTTTATTGGGTTATTGTTTGCATATATATAGTTCCATGGGTTTCTGAATTGAATGTGCTGCTATTACGTAACCGTTTTTGAGGAACATGAAATTTGAGCGAGGCCAATAATTCAGGACTATCAATCTGATCATTACATATTTTTTGGATAGCGATGATATCAGTGTTGCTCCTACGCTCTTTGTAGACTTTTTATGTTCAGGCAATTTGAAATAGGTATGGTTATAATTAAATGTAAATACATTATTCCGTATTTCATCTTATTGGAAATATGAAATATTTATTAACTTTTTTAAACTGGAATTATCGAATTCTCACTTCATTTTCTTAGGTATAATAACGTTCATAGCATGAATCATTTTATTTGGCATGATAGGTATTCTCCTATCGGATTTTTTACACCATGGGTAACATTGTAATAGGATTTGTATAATAGAGGTTGTTGCAAAACTTCAATTATGTACTTAAGCTATTTCAAACATTGATGGAAAATAAAGAAAAGGGGTCGACCTGTTGGTATAGTATATGTATATGCAAATTTTGCTAACATATTTTATGGGTTATCTTAGATTTCTAGATAAATCCTAGCTATTTCTAGTATAGTAATTGATTTTGGCAACACTGCCCGGTGAGTTCGCGTTTCGCGGTGACTTGACTCATCGGCTCGGCACTGTCGATTGTCGATCCTCGTTTGTTAGAGTCGGTCCGACTGTCCGAGCCTCCTGTCTAGTAGTGATGCGGAGGAGGCTGTGAGTGTTGGTTGTTTGCCGATTTGGGACTGTTTTTCGTCACTACAGCGTGCCAGATTTGCGAAACCCGGATTTTCAATGAAAAAGTGATTGGCGATCGTGAAAAAAGACTGAGATGAGACGAAATGTCAAAGTACTGGTGCTTCTGTCCATGGCATGGATGTTTGTGGTCGTTTATTACCTTCAAAGCAGCAGAGACTTGAAGGTTTGTTTTTGTTCATGAAAAAGTCGGTTTTAAAATAGGGACTTATCCCGAAGTCTCCTATCAAACTCTGATACACAACCTGTTTCCACCTGGCTTATCCATAGATGTGGTCAATCTCTAAGTCAAATAACAACAATTAGTTAATAGGTATTCCTGATCCTATATCCCTTATTCATCTCAATCTGGTAATCTCGATGGTAACGATCTGGTACGGAATTGACATAGGTATTATTATTATCATGTATATTTTTTCTGGTGATTGGACGATAAACATACAAAACTTGTTATTTATTGATAAACGAAGATCCGGAACACCCCTAATTCTATTAAATAGCCTAGACACTATTTCTAGTTTGTGTACAACGACTATTATTATACTGTCACTACGCCAGTACGCCACTGAACTGAAAAGACTCGGAAAAATGGAAGAACCAAGGGGGTTGAATCACAGTGTCAGTAGGAATCGAGGTAGGAATAGAATTTATGCTTATAGCCATGATGCATACCTAGATCATCGTCCACCAATATTAGAATATTGGTGGACGATGCCTAGATTAAACGAATTACAAACTGGAAACCTGTCAGTTAGTATATTCATTTTGCTAGATAATTTAGGATTTCCTCTCCTCGTTTCTACAAAATGAAAATATGAGCAGTATTATTTCCATATATCATGATGAATATATATACGTGTAGTACCTACCTAGGACAAATCAGATGATTTGCCCCAAAATGTCGTTAAGTTTTAAAATTTGTCTATTAGAGAGTCTATCCGAGCGTTTGTCAGTGACACTTTTGTTTTTGGAGAAAAGTAGAGAAGAAAATATGGATATATTGGAAAACAATTGAATTTTTACTTAATTCTGGACGTCGGGAACGATTCTGGTCCCGTTTTCAACATAGTGTGACACTAACCAGACAATCTTCAAAGAAGAATATGTTTGCATCTTTTATGTTGAAAACGGGAGCAAATTCGTTCTCGACTCGTATATTGAAATAATCGGAAATAATACTCATATTGAATGTAAAAATTTCAAAAAAGATGAGATTTCCACAAAATTCTTAGCCACACATGTTTCGCTAACAGCCTAATCTCGAGCATAATACTGGTACGTTATGATAAAGTGATGCACAAAATTCATAAAACGTACAACGATCACTTTTGAAAAAAATGCAAAAACACGTCAAACTTTTTTTTAGTCCGCATCTTTTGACATAAGTTACAAAAATAACACGTCAAAGTTGTAAAAGTTATGACGTCATCAACAAATATTTTAATGGGAAGCTAAGATTTTTATTAAATTATGTGAGCCCTACTGCAACTATTTTTTTCTTGTGTAAAAACACAAGCTCTATCACATTCTATATCATTCAGGAGCGACATTTATTTGGATTGATTTTTTCTGTACTTGAATGATGCCAAAGCGTGCCAAAGTAATCTATAAAAAAATCATCAAACTACTTTACATAATATCTAACAATAGTTTAGGATATTTTTGTCGAAGTTAGGATTAGAAGAAATCTCGGAAGAAATCAAATAATAATATCAAGAACTAAAAGTTGAACTAGAACGTTCAAATTGGAGACAAATGTGTAAAATTGGAATAAAAACAACTTTTCTCAGTAATTTTTTTTTGAATTCGAACAAATAAGTCTATTTTCATCAATTAATTGATAAAATGTATATTTTGACATGTAGCAAAAGTCACTCGACTCTCGCACCAAGTAGGCCATTCTTCATCTTTTTCCTCGTCTTTTTCTAAGCAAAACTCAACGCCCAAGTCGAGTTTCAAAATTAATTATTATTAACAAGTTTTTCTCATAATAATGCAAACTTTATAAATGACACCTTGAATGACACTGTATATATCAGAGATCCATATACTCAGTCCATCAATATTTGACACTTGATCATAAACGAGATCAGAAATAAGTGAAACTGATGATATTTTTTCTTTAATTTTGAATGTGCAACCGTTTCCTAGATCACCATTTATTTTGTCACTATGCTGTGCAACCCGAGGTGCAACCTGTGGAATATATGGTCACACTGTATCAGGGTTGGAATAAGTCATGACTTTTATGAAAAAGTCATCAAAGTCCGACTTTTTGAATTGAGTCAGACTTTTTTGAATTAATTAATTTGAAAAAAAAAATTTCATTTTCACGAAGCGAAATAGAAACAAAAAAACTATGTTTTCATTCCCTTCAGAAATCTTGTAGAATAATATACCATGTCATTTTTTCGAAACAAAATTGAAAGTAATGATAGAATACAAAATAATAGATACATAACACATGGAGACAAAGTTTATTAGTAAAATATCGAAACATTTTTTCTCGGGGATGAAGTTATTTGAAAAAAAATAAAAATAGCTATTTTCAGTTTTCTCAAATAATGGCTGGAAACTCCATATGTGAGCATGAATTTGAATTCTATTCAACTTGTACATCATCAACATCACTACTGTCAGAAAACAAAAGAGAATTGTAACAAAATTGAAGAATATTCGAAAAAATATAGCTATTTCCAATTCTCCTCCAAAAATGCCAAAAATTGCTCGAAACTAAATGTGGAATAGCAACTTAATCAGAAATGTTTATGGATATTTTGTTATCTAACCCCACTTTTCGTCGCTTTATAGTGTTATTTTTATTTATCACCATACCAGTGATCACGTGACATGTGTCAAAATCGATTTTCAAGTTATCGGATATGCATAATGGATCGCCGAGAGAAAAAAATTCGATGCTGTGATAATAAACCTGTTCTCATAATTATGTTATGGACTTTAAAGATGATACTTGATACTGTATACAGGGTGTTGCGAAATTCGACCGACAACGCTTGACAGGTGAGAGCCCTCGTGATTTCATAATCACTGAGATAGGAACATATGGTCTCCAAGTGTTCAGTTCTCGAGATACAGGGCGTTGAAGTTGAGAAATTGAAATAGTTTGTTCGCAATATCCTCGGCAATATCTCAAGAAAAATTGTATATAATGCATTCAAATTCGGTATATGGTTTCATCTTTCAATGGTTCATTTCTTGACCAGGAAGACATTCCGAGAAGTCTATCCATAGGTACGCTACAGGGGGTTGTGATAACTTTTCCTCCCATATTTTCTACGCCACTGACGAAATTTTGATTATTTCCAATTTCTTGAATTGATTGTTCAATTATGTTGAAAAAATGCATTACCTTCAACTAAGCTAAAATTAACAGTTATCGAGATATTTGACCCAAAATAGAAGTTTGCATAGTAATTTTTCATCTTCCTCAGTAGTGGAAAATTACAAAAATGTTTGTTTTCTCTTTATTCGTGGAATAACTATTTCTGTTCAGCTACAGGATGAGATCTGAATAGTATCTAATCTACTCAACACCAGAAAAATATTTTTGCAATTTTCTACTACTGAAAATGATGAAATATTACTATGCAATCTTCTATTTCGGGTCGAATATCTCGAAAACTGTTTATCTCAGCTCAGCTGAAGGTGATACATTTTCTGAACAAAATTGAACAATGAATTCGAGGAATTGGAAATAATCGAAATTCAATCAGTGGCGTACAAAATATGTGAGAAAAAGTTACCACAACCCCCTGAAGGCCACCATTGGATAAAATGTCCGGAATAGCTTCCTGGTCAAAAAATGACCCATTCAAAGGTGAAACCATATACTGAATTTGAATGCATTATATTAAATTATTCTTGAGATATTGCGAAACAACTATTTTTATTTCTTAACTGCAACGCCCTGTATCTCGAGAACTGAGCACTTGAAGACCATATGTCTTTATCTCAATGATTATGAAATCACGAGGGCTGTCACCTGTCAAGCGTTGTCGGTCGAATTTCGCAACACCCTGTATATCTGTTCCCTGTCATGCTTGAAATAACAAAGTCTTGCCAAAATACGATCGAATTTTTCATTTTAAACTAGTTGAAATCAAAGGTAATAGTGCAATTTGTCTCATTTTTAAAAATTTGAATGAATTCATGACTTTTTCGAAAAAAGTCAATGGAATTAATTCACGAATTAAATCACTGATTTAATCTCGGATTTAATTCATATGAATTAATTCATGCCAACCCTGCACTGTATACGATATAAGTTGTTGGTACTGGGGGTAATGGGGTAATCTGTGCTGGTAGGTTAGTCAAGTAGTTAGTAGTTACCGAGGTAGTTACCTAACACGAAGCGAATACTATTAATAAATAATTCGGAATTAATGATTAGGTTATTTTGGGAACTCGTCCACCCATCGAAAACGAGATCAAAAAATTTCTACTTTCTCCGAAACAGAACACAACATTCAAATCACTAGAAAATAGATCATTTTGTTTCACATTCTTTGACTGTCTCTCTCGTATCGTATAGTTCTGGCCCGATGTTTTCGTTCCAGTTTCTAGTAATGACCAAATTGATATTCTCCTCGACATTTTCAGAGATATACAGAGTGATTCACGATGGATGAGCTCTGAATTTCAACAATTTCGAACAACGTATAGACTCATTATTTACATAAAAAGCGCGAGAAGTGTTGCAAAAATTGATTCAGTTTCCTTGGTATTACTATCAGCAATAACCTTTCTTGGGAAAATCACGTGAGATAAATTGCTGAAAGTGCATCCCAAAAACTTGGATTTCTGTTTCGGGCCAGGAGCTATCTCACTTCCAGTCAGCTGCTTATGATCTATAAGGCACAGATCCGACCTGTCCTGGAATACTATTCCCATATTTGGAGTGCAGCACCCAAACATACCCTGAAACTGTTGGATTCTGTCCAAAAAAGGGCAATTCGTCTCGCTATTTGGAGTGCAGCACCCAAACATACCCTGAAACTGTTGGATTCTGTCCAAAAAAGGGCAATTCGTCTCGTGGGTGATGCCTCGCTCACAAACTCACTCGTTTCTCTGGAACATCGTAGAAAAGTTGGTGATCTGGCTCGATTTTATAGATGTTTTCATGGACGATGCTCTTCTGAAATATCA